CGTGGGCCCGGGTGAGCTTCTCTATCGCCTGGGGATATTCGCCCTGCAAGCGGTGGATGTCGCCCAAGCTCCACAGGCAGTTCGCCACGCCTTGTCGGTCTCCAATCTCGGAGTACACGTCGTGGGCCCGGGTGAGCTTCTCTATCGCCTGCGGGTACTCGCCTTGCATGCGATGGATGTTGCTCAAGCTCCGCAGGCAATTCGCCACGCCCTGTCGGTCTCCGATCTCGGAGGACACGTCGTGGGCCCGGGTGAGCTTCTCTATCGCCTGGGGGTACTCGCCCTGCATGAGATGGACGTCGCCTAGGGTTTTCAAGCACTGTGCTACCATATTCTGATCCTCAACTGCGGTCGACTCCGCCAGTGCGTACTCCAGATCCGCCTTGGCCGCCGAATAGTCACTAATGTGCTGCCGCAATCTTGCCCTCCTTACCAGGCCTTCTCGATGCCCGACCTTTAGCCCACAGTCTGGCCATCGACTGAGCAGGTCGTCGATGAGATCAGTCGAAGGGCGTGTCCAGTATTGAAAGTTCGTGAATTTGAAGGCTGCACGAGCAACTCCCCGTGTACCTGCTTGCGCCCGTCGTAACTCCTGCTTGAATAGATAGGTGGTGTTGCCCACTTCCGGAAGCAAGACGGCGCATGCCTCGGTGAAACCCATATCATTGGGGTCAAGATCCCCGTACTCGTCCGCGAGCCGGATGTAGTGTTGAAGGAGCTGGCCATAGAGTAAAGCGGAAGGGGGGTGATGCTTCAACATGTATTGTCGGATCGGCGAGAGCACCTTGACGGACCCATCGGAGGCCCTGAAAGCTAAAGAGGCGGCAAGGATAGTCGCGAGGGCCGTGTCTACGTCCTTCAGGCCCAAGTTCATCTTGATCAGTTGATCGATCCCACCTTGAACCCCGTCAGGTAAACTGCAAATCACCCCGAGCAGCGCAATCGCCTCCGGAACACCTTTCATCCGTTTCGAATCGAGGGACAAAGATATCGATACGTCCACGCTCGTAAGGCGGGTAGGAGAGTCGTGCTCGGCCTTGAGCATGTCGGTGGACTGTCTTTCCCATCGGTGCAAGAGGCTGGAGCAGGGGAGATCACCCTTGACGCTGGCAAGCAGCTTGATGGCCAGCGGCAGACCGCCGCACTTGTCCAGGAGTAAATCGAGATCTGGCTTCTCGTTCTCTGTGATTTCTCGATTGACAGAACAGAAGAGTTTCATCGCGTCATCGGGGGAAAGGGGGTCCAGAGAGATGGGTGACCATCGAACGTCTCCTTTAGCGGGCGGGGAATTTCCCCTCATCGTCACAATCAACCGGACGTTCGGCGAAGCAGCCAACATGCGAAGAACCTCGGTGAGCTCTGTCTGTGTCCCACCCGAATCCCATGGACTCTCGAAGTTGTCCAGCGCGAGTACCACCGACCCGACGTTCAAAAGAGAAGCCAATTTCTCCATAGGATCCCCGCCAGATGACGAGCTGCCACCAAGAACTTGCACGATGGCCTGGACCAAGGCTGACGCCGTGAGGAGGGAGTCGCATGGCACAAAGCAGCAGCGGTTGCGCGACTTGATGGCCTGGTGGTCGAGGATAGCCAGCGCGACTGACGTCTTGCCGATGCCACCGGTACCCAGAAGAGCGATGTGAGGCCGTTCCTTGTCGCTGAGTTTACCAACTGCATCTTCTACGACATCATCTCGCCCATAGAAGTAGATCGGGGGTGTAGAGACGACAGACGAGATCTGAATGCTACTTTAAATCGTCAACATCACTGCATTGGGATGTTGTATATATGGGGAGCGAACCTTGGGATAGCGGATGTCGAGGTCTATATACGATCGGGTCGTGAGTAAACCATCAAATCACCTGATGACGAACTGACCTGAGCTATACATTTCCTGTTTATATCGAAAGCGATATTACTGAGGACAGCAACCTGCTCATCGAAGGCAAACGTCAGCTCTTGTCAATGTCAAGGAAGCCGACGGTCGCACCGTGAACTCCTGAACAGCATGGTCGATCTGACTGTTATAGCCCGACAGCTGCTCCGCCACCGATTCTCGTCTTAGCAATGCTGACCCAAACGAAGCCCATGAGAACCCCTTGTGAAGCTTGAGTGGTATGAGCCCGTGCTTGATATCCGTCAACGTTCTGTGAAATTCATGGATGAACGAATGAGCACGCCGAAGCCAGTGCAGGCTGGGACTCACCGAGCCAGATTACCGAGGTATGACCTGAGGTGGTCAGGTACCTCTTCTTCCTTCTTTCCACCGAGCTGGTTCAAGATGACGAAAATCAGCGCGCCTATCCGGCGAGCCAGCTCCGTACACGCTTTCTCATTCTTGCGAACTTTCTACAAGGGGATCCGCGTCGGCGCCGGATACGATACAGATGCCAAGCGCGTTCGTCGACTCACCTCGATCATCGCAACGACCTCTTTGGCCAGTCCGACGGCGCCTTTGAGAGGTTCGCACATGACGAGACCATCCGAAATTGCACCGAGGACGGAGAGGACGGTTTTGCTGTGTTCGAGCGCGGCATCGAAGCGCCTCCAGTTGGGCCCATCGGGGTGTTCCATCGTCGGTGAGATGGGCAGAGGAAAGAGGACGAGGCAGGGAAGAAGAGATGTTGGCGTGCTGTCAGCTGCATTCCGTCCTCATGGCCACCACGCGGTGTACGGCCCGTAGATGGCGATGCGAGAGGGTTCGGGGTGGGTGTCAAGCTTTCATTGTCAAGAATAGCATACTTTCGGCGCTTCGGGACGCACAGACGTTGCACTTAAATTCGACAGCCTCTTGTCTTTCATAACTCGGAGAAGGATATAGCATTCTCAGTCGTGGCGCGTCATACCAGACTGCAAATGCAGAGAGAGCAGGGACATGGTACAGGCGCAGTCAGCGCACGATGAGTGTGTACAATATAGTGGGATCAAATAGCTCGTCCCCTCCGCACGACTTGCGGTACATATGTTCATGGCTGTGCAATCTTTCCCAGAATGCACAGCCAGGAATCCGATCTCTGCCAATTCGTCGACTCCGACTGTGGCCTCTCTGGTACTGCTGCCGAGATGGCTAGTCTTGGGACGTTCATAAGCCTGCGTTTCCTTGAGTTAATCTGCCGATGCATTCGAGCGTGAGCTCAACATCCCTAGCCAGGGATGTTTTCCATCACCCATCCCGAGACTCAAGCAACGCTTCACGACTGGCGCTCGAATATTGATGAAGATCGACATGTTTCTCTAGCAGCTCCTACGATGAACGTTATCGAACCAAAGACAGATGCAAGTGCCGACCAATATCAACACTCAGCGGGACTTATTGCATACTACATAGCTCGTAGCGACATCGGGGGAAGCGCTCGGCCGCTCTCGCGTGTCTCGACGTGGACTTTCGACCTCTTTGACCTTGCATTCCTAACCCCCACCTTCTCGAGCCCATCAATGAGCCCTAATGAGCCCTTTGACAACGTTCAGACCGCTTCCGGATGTCCACAAGCGTACGCCGGAGGAGGGGAAGGTCACTTCGACGCTTGAGGGGGTAGAGGCTGCAATATAACCTGACTTGGGAGAGCTTCTCTGGATGCTATCGCGTCTACATGTTGGACGTTGACCGCGGCTGCTGGTTGAATGCCGAGGGGGGCATGGGCCTCCACAAGGAGGTAAGCAACCGAAATTATCCCGTAGATCATGGCTCCTCGTGCTGAACACTCGCCTGCATCAGATCACCCACTAGACTCTAGAGGACCAGGAACCCGACACGAAGCTCCCAGTTTGCCTCCCAACGAATTTTTTCCTACTTCACGTTGCAGCGCGCTCGCCGGTTGATGCGAAGTTTTCATCGGTGGACATCTATGGTAAGTCTTCTATAGACATCATTGTTTCGCCCGGCTCACGGACGTGCGTCTCAGCCTCGATCCTCTCGAAAGCCGTCTCTGTCCTCAGGATCCGTATCGCTATACACGTGTACGGATTGATATCCAATGCAACAAGACAGGGACCTTCTTCAGTCGACGGATCAATCGATGGATCACCCGAACACACTGAAAAGCCTATATCTTCAATGTATGCAGCCGGGACTTCCAACATGTCGAGGTTATACGAGACGTTGGTCTCCCATGTTTCGCAGCACGATGTATTGACGTATACTCAATCGTCAAGCGCGCCTTACCCGCCTCCGCACCTGCTCCCATCGAATGTCTGCTTTCTGGCTTATACCGTATCTTCGCGATATCGTCGAGGACCCTCAATCTTATAAGTATGAACTCTCGGAACCAGCCGTCGGTCGATCAGTATGGCTCCAGAACGCAGGTGGCAGCGACGGATTGTGCCGTCTCCTCGCACTCCGCATTTCACGGGAACGTTTCGAAGCCCCACTGTTCCCGGGACCAGCCTTCGGCCGGTCACCGGTCATCCGGCGCGTCAAACGTAGTCTCGACTTCCACGATCCTTCAGGCGCCGGGAACAGTCTCTAGCTCGATCCGGGTCGAGACGCGCGGGCCCGGAACTGGAAAGCAGAACATTCCCAACGAACCCTCGCTTTCTCATGGCGAACGAATTCCCCTTGAGGCCCCAGAGATGATTACAGCCGAAGGCAGCACTTCAGCGACTGTTACAGAGGAACGAAGTAGTGAGATAGAGCACGACGTCGATTGTGCCAGCGCGCCGACACTGCCTGCGTCAGACAGACAGGATGCGGAGGATACATCGGATAGAATCCCAGCCCACGACCCAGATTCTAGGTCGAGCCAAGATCCACTGGCGTATCACGTCCAACGCCAGGACAGTGGTCGCGAACAGGATGGAGCGAAGGATAACGTTGTGACGCAGGCAGAGGGCAAACACGGTAGCGACCGAAATCTAGAGGTGGGCGGCGCGGGCGGCGCAGGGTCATCGTCTGAAGGAGGACACGAATATCGGGACGTTGGTGGACGGTGGATAGAGAGGTTGAGCCCGTTTGAAACTCGTTCATGGAATTGATCTCGTGGTATCGACAGTATGCACGAAAGCAAGAGAGCATATATAGCACGACAGCATGCTCACTTAGTCCTACATGCATATCCATGCGCTGCGCTGGTGTTGCTAAGCACCGTGACCTACCAAATCCTACGAGTATCTGAGGCTGACTATGCCCGTGTCGTTCTCCCATGCCAGTCCTGACGCTGAGCCCGGTGATGCTGATAAGCGAGGAAACGAGAGGTCATCCGGGCGCTTGAGCTTGTTCTGACGTCACCTCGAGGACTGAACTACGCCGCGCGTCTCTCGTCTTAGACATCCGTCGCTCATACGCTAAACGCACTGGGCCGATTACATGGTGAGCTCTTTCCTTCGCCTTTTTCTGATATTGAAATGAAGTAACAGTCTGTCCAGGTCTGCAGGTTCTGTACTACAATCCGAGGCAGGCGCAGCTGCAAGCAATGCGATCATATCGATTGGCGGGAGCGCCACTACGATTGCTTATAGTAGCAATCGGATATCCATCCCTATCCTCCAAACGTATGAGTCTGTCAATGCATACCCCAATTGTACCGGTACCACCGGAGACGTCCCTTTGCATCTCTGAGGGGCTGTCCGGTTGACAATGACTCACATCACGAATGAGGCGCTGTGCTCAGGTACCATGGCAATGTAATCCAGCCTCCTGCTCCGGATTTAGGATGATGTGCCCATCTGTTATGCGTTGTCCAGGTCTCCCCTCTACAGAACAAGTCACAGACACTGCACAGACACGAGCTGCGTTTACATCTCCTCGCGCTCGTATCGCTTTGACGTTAGTACTCTAGGTTCGCGATCATCTTACACATGGATCTTCCAGTTTCCTCGATATGGATCAGGAAGTTACGGCGCGCAGCCGCCCATTCTCGTAATACATCAGCGCCCGTGGGTACAGAGGATTTGCTGCATCATAAGAATTGACATGGCCCACACTGCATGTGCGTCGACAACCCCCATTGACGAAACCTCACGCGACGTTCTGTATCAAACATTTGGACATCAAGGAGCGTTCTATTTAACACCATGCAAAAAGGTGCCGTACACGTGTAACAGTTGAACCATTCCCTGACTCTCATCCCAGCAGTACCTCTTGATAATATTATGCCGCAAGTCCGACCTACACAGCCGCATGGCCGCCCCGAACAGGTGATGGTGATGACATACATACGTGCCCTGAAGCTCACGCTGAGAACACCTTACGAACAGACAAAGTCTGATACAATACGAGAGGAACACAACGAAGATTACAGACGCTGGAAGGAATGGAGAGAGGTCCGTCTTCAATCTACGTTTTTGGTGGAGCGCTTTTATTTACTTATGTAACCGCTCCCTTATCTAACTGATCAGCCTCCGCGTCCGTATGCCACGCTAACAGCGGAAACCGATTCAGACACAGGCACATCGAATATTCACATGGACGAGAAAGAGCCGAATGTACGAAATGGTTTCCCTCATAGTCTTATCACGGACTCATTTGTCTCTGGGTCAGCTACCAAACTTCAATGCAGCGTCAAGCGATTCGGGCTGGGCCTATGTATACAAAAGACTTCAACGGCACGACAAGGACATGATTGAGGGATATTCGGGAGACATCGATAGTCTCCTCATCTTTGTGAGCTCATAGTCTCATACGCTTGGGATTTTCCATTTGTTTATCTGGACTGTGACAGGCGGGACTTTTCTCCGCGGTACTCACTGCCTTCATCGTGGATATTTACAAAGAACTGCAGCCAAATTCCGGCGCACTATCGGCACAGCTACTTGCCGATATCTCCCAGCAGCTACATAGTATTTCTCAAGGTCATGCTTCTTTGCCTTCCGCGGCTTTGGCCCAATCGTTTCACTCGCCGCCGCACCTTATCGCTGTGAACAGTCTATGGTTCCTGAGTCTCATTCTCTCCCTCGGGTCGGCTCTTCTTGGACTATTCGTCAAGCAATGGCTACGCGAGTACATTCTCTGGACATCCATCTCTCCGATACAGCACGCAATACAGCTACGAAGATACCGATTTGAGGCTCTCCAGCGATGGCATGTTCCTTCCATTGTAACCCTAGTTCCGGGTCTGCTACAGATGTCGGCGCTGCTCTTTGTTGCAGGGCTTGTCGTTCTTCTGTGGCAAATGAACAGAACAGTTGCGTCGCTCGTCTCATTCGCTGCAGGCTTCGTCGTGTGCTCTGCGGCCTTCGTAGTCATTCTTCCTATCTTCGTTAACTCGTGCCCATACAAGACGCCGTTCGGATGGGTGACTTTGTCCGCCATACGTGTTCTCGGTGTTCGCAAGGCCATGGCAATCCTTTACAAAGTGCGCTGGCCCAACTTCCTCAGCAATATCGAGGATTTCTTGTATCGTCACTCTCACATGCACCCGGATATCTATCCGCTTGTCGGATGGAGTCACAGGGACTTGGCCCTTCCGAGCTTTGGTCGAGGCCCAATACATTTTGCAGAGAAGCAATGCTTCTCGTTGCTCTCGATAGCATCGCACGAGGAGTTGGATAAAGATACGATAGCTAAATGCAGCTCCGATATTCCAGGCCCGCGCCTTCGGACTCGCGAGTCGCTGAAGCTCGGGAATAGTATGAGCCGCCTCGGTTTATGGCCATACACCCCAGCGAAATACTTATGTGGCTATTGGATAGCCATGTCAACGTTCCTTGACCTTCCGTGCAACAGCTCTGTCCCCGCTTTGGATCTCCTTCGAGAAGTGGCTGAAACTACGAGGTCCCCAACGGAGGATGCGCAGTTTCACATTGATCTACAAGATGTCCGGCTGGATATTCTACGCAACGCCCTCGGCGGTCTCAACGACACACAGCAGTATCTGATATTCAAACTTCTGGCTGTGTCGATCGAGTCAGGTATCAAACACGACAGCTCACCAGGACTCTTTCCTAATAATTCGCCTCCTTTCACGAAGGAGAATATGTCCTATTTGCATGTCAGTTCCCTGTGCATGATGCGGATCCTCTGCGATTCCCAGCGCGAACTCGTCGGCGAATATATGGCAATGTTAGTCCGAGTCCTCGTCAATGTCGATCGCCTCACTTGGCCCTCGGGTGCTTCGGGACACTGCGTACTTCGGTTTATGATGTTGGACGCAGAAACGCACCTTCATCCAGGTCAATCCATGTCACTCATTACGTTACGGTCATGTGGAGCTAACATCTGAGTGAACAGATTGTTCCCCTGAGGCTTTCGAAAGCTGCCTTGACTTCATCAGTACTCTTGGGGACTTCGACGTGTCTCAACGGGACATTACACGGAAGCAACTATTCTGGTCCCTGTCGGACGTTGTCTGGGGGCTCAGAATCATAACTGTTCCCGATATCTGCTCCAGATCACTGCGTAACATTGAAGCGGCTATGGGGAAATACATGCGAGTGCTACACGCCTCACTCATAGCGGAGTTGTGTGCTCTTCGGGAATCAAGGCCCGATGACTTACGCACGAAGGGCTTTGTATGGCATGCTGATGTGGACTGGCCAAAGTTCGTTCGCTTCACGGCGCGCCATCATCACCTTGCGCCTAAGCCCACCCTCCCTGTTGTGCATCGCATTCTCGAGGCACACTACCTGAACCTCTGGGGTTCTCGGATAGAGTCACAATTCGTAGGGCAGGAGATGTCCTGGGGCGTACCTCCGGGCTCATTCGAAGATATGACCCGCGTATGCCTACATTTTCAATTTCAGCCCGAGTTTCGTCGTGGATCGACATCGGGGTCCTCCTCCAGTTTTACTTCCTATTCGTGATTGGTACCTCGCCTTGACACAGTGATATCAGCGCAGCTGCTGGGAGAGGATATTGTAGGTGTCCGCAGTGTCTGCAAATACACATCTCTTGACAGGCATAATACAACGCGAAAGGCCGAGAATATCTCGGAATAGCGATGTTTGTAGCATATATCAAGGGAAGACATATTGCAATTGCCTTCGCTGACCCCAGATTGGACGCCGTGCTCAACGGTGGTGTACTGCCGGATCCGGCGGGGCTCATCACCCCGTAGCCCTTGAAGTTCTCGAGGCTGCAGTCGAGAGTCGTGTACTGAATCCCCAAGACGCGGTCCGTCTGGGCTCTCTTCCAAGAGGAGAACAATCACCATACAAATAAGTGAGGTCAAAGCATGTCCGAAGTCCTTTGACATCTCAGGGACAGTGTGGCGTTTGCCATTTGAACTGCGTGGCACAGACTCCCAAGACACGCAACCTGAGGGCAAACAAGCCCAATACGGCGACACGATCCGGCTATGTTGCGTTTCACGAGAAGCGGCGCAGGACGCGAGAGAGATTCTTCAACGATTCGGCCAACTGTCCTCCGTAGTCGAATTAGAGCTCGAGATCCCTGACGCGGTCCAGATTGTCGAAAGCATCCGAAGATGCTTCTTTGCCAACACCCATAGACTTGGTGAGCCCCGTTATCCAGACAGACCGCGGCGCGTGTTTCGACATCGCTAGAGATGTCCACGTTGAGTTTGGGGTTAAACGGGGTACGAGTGACCATAGAACAGCACCGTCGAGGGAACCGCGCGCCCAGGGCTACAAACATGACTGAAGGCGTGACTTGACGGGAACTGGAAATCGGCGTCTCTTTGTCGTTGACCCGTTTCGACTGACCTGCGCTGGAGATGACCGCCTCGAGAGGTGCTGGAGGAAGGTCAAGCCCAGTATATAATTGGAGAGCCCGGTCTCCGAGTCGAAGCTGAGTAGCCACTTGTACCCATGCACGATATCGGATGGTATTGAGGGCTGGATATGACTGGTTGAGCCAGCACTCAAGGGCAATCGCGTAAACTGGAAGATTGAAACAAAGGCAAGTACTCGCGCGATAGCAGCCACACTTTTCGACTCAGGAAGTGCGAAGAGTCGAAGTTTTGGTCCCTGGAGCAGCCCTTGCGATTTGGACATGAATCATCGTCGAATCCACAGGATTGCGCGGCTAAATTCCACGTATGATCGCTCCAGGATTGTACGGGTGAACTCTGCCCTGGGAGTGAGCAAGGAGGAAATCATTTGAAGTACCGCTCGTTGGGGTTTGGCGGCTTTGATTACGATACAACATCCGTCAATGCCAACATACTCCACATGTACAGCGGTAACGTCAGGTTGTCGTTTTGCACACTGAGCGCCTCCAGAAGCGAAGCTAGGACCGCCACGCCCGAGTACCGCCAAGTCTGGTGGCGAAACGAGTCAGTATCGACGAACGATCGGGCAGCGATGATGGTCGAGTCAGGAACGTTACTGACCGAGAACGCTTCCGCGACTCCGGCAACCCTCAGCAACCAGGCGGAACTGACGACGCTCAACACGAAGGCCGTACTGCCTTCGAGCGTCTTCGGCGTCGTCGGGGACCACCGGATCCTTCCAATGCGTTTACCCACAATCGAGGCCTAGCCGCCGCCACCGGATCCGCAGTTGAAATCAATACGAATGGTGCAGACCCCAGTCAGCGCGCACATTCGAAACGCATGATGGTTCTAGACGCACCACGGCATCTCCCACCCCCAGTGCCAGTACACCGGTGTACTGAAGAAGTTGCGACGACCTGGTCCAAAGGAGGGAGTCGCGCGTCAGTACCGGTGGGTGTTAAAACAGTCGAACAAACCGAATTCGCGGGATCGATGATCAATGAGGGAAACACACAAAATGGAACGGACGACTTTCCACGGAGGGGGTGCAGTACGAGAAGATGTGCGACCACACGAAGACAGAAGAACCACACGCTCGTGATCGCGCCCACGGCAACCCACCAGCGCCCGCACACCCCCGGCGATCAAGGGATAAACAGCCCACGGGCAAATCTGGGAAATCGCCCACCATCCGGCGGAATAAAGTGCGGATGCTCGCAGCGCAGCACGGCGCTTCTCGCGATCCGAGAGTTGGTTGCTCGGAGACGCATGGCAGGAGGGCGCCCATTCGAAACCAAGCATGCATGATGCGGTTGCTCCAGTGAATCCAAACCTCCAGAAAGGGAGTCGGAGCAACCGACCAGGTGGATGGAAATCAGAGACGGGCTCAGAAAACTTCTGCGACCACGCCAGAAAGCCTGAACACAAAGACACGATGTCTGGCGCTGAATAGGAATGCGGGCTCCAGGGAACCCATGACGTAATATATGGACGACTCACGGCTCAAACCACAGGCTGCCCGCGCAGCCCGTGAGGAGGTAGAAATGGCTGAGGATCGCGGTACCGGCGTCCTTGTCGTCCAGGAACTCGTTCAGGAACACATGTACCGCCGCGCCGAGTGGATACAGCGCGAAATAGCGCACGTACTCCGCGAACGTGAACAATGCAAAGGCCGCCGAGAACGAGAGATGAGTGAAGGCCGGCTACAAGACGTATTGATTTCAGCTCGCTTCTTTCACCACCACGGCAACGAAACACGGGAGAGAGAGGGATACGCGATCAGACACCTACGTCGATCGCCAGTCCAGGCAGAAACATCGCCACAGCCAGCGCATGGAAGAACTTCCTACGCGCATTCAGCGATAGCGTCGGCACACGTTTGTCCGCCGCGTCCAGGAGTTCCGTCGCCGCCTGACTCATGCCCGTCCCGTTGGGCAGGTTCGGAAGATTGGGCAAGTTGGACAAGTTGGGCAGCGTGAGCGACAACGATCCGCCAGTGGGCGGCGTCGACGGCACAGACGTGTCCGGAGACGACGCCTTCGCGACGTCTTCCCTCTCCGTAAACATCGATCCCGTCAAAGAGGACGTGGCCTCGCCCGGCCCTGGCGCCTGGCCCTGATTCGTGCTCATCGGGCGATACCGCCGCGAGCGTGCGAGCTGCCGCGTCCAGCCTGCGACGCTGATGATCCCGAGCAGGCCCCAGTAGGTCAGCAGCGCCGGCCGGCTCCACTTTCTTCGCCCCTTGAGCACCCAGAACACGGCCCACGTCCACGGGTTTCGTCCGCCCATACACCACTGCGTCCAGATACCGATAACGCCACCGATGATGAGCACCGCGCCGGCATAGAACGCCAGCGCGACCAGCCGCCGCTGCTTGAGGTGTGCGGGGGCGCCCTGGCGGAGGCGCTTCGCGGGCTGGCGTGCGAGGCGGCGCGAGAGGACGAGGATGGGCGAGAGAAGGAAGCCCGTAAGCAGCGAGCCCGGGAGAAGAGCCAGCTGGTAGATCAGCAGCGGGGTCGGCGCTCGATATGTCTTGATGAAGAGCGTCGTCCCAGGCCAGATCTTTTGCAGACAGTGAGTTAGTGTGCAACGAGCAACGATGTGGGTAATGTCTACCTTGGCGATTGTTAGGTTCGTGAGCTCCATGAAAAGAATCGTGGCCCCAGTCGCGAACAGTCCCAGCTCGCCGAGGGTGAATCCCTGATGCGCAAGACGTATCGCGACGTACAAGGTCGCCTGGAAGAACACCGAGCTGAACAAGACGTCCACATAGCTAAGATCTGACGGTGCCACGAGTCAGTCACCATACGCCACGAGGAAAAACGACGGGCTCACTTTGCCACAAGCCGAGCCCCGCCAGCGGCATGACTGCCTGCAGAACGAGCATCCCGATAGAAACCGCGAGAGCAAACGCAATATACAAACCGGCCTTCTTCGTTTCCTTGCGAGGGACCGTCCCACGCTCACCCTCGGCAAGCGCTGTCCTGCGACGGTACCACTCCTCGGCCCACCACGATGCGCATACATGCGTCAGCAGGATCGCGGCGAGGAGCGTTGAGAGGTCGACGAGGTTGCGTCCGGACGCGACAAGCGCTTCTAGGGCCGTGTATGAGTGAGCGCCCGTGGAGGAAGCCAGAACGGCAGGGGGCTCGATGCGCCACGCGGGGGGTACAGGGTTATATGAGGGCCCATGTCGGGCTCGGAGACGCAAGGTGTTGCAGAGTATGCCCGAGGCAAGCAAAGGCCCGATGAGGAGGGCGGAAAGGATACCATCGTCGGAGGACGCTCTGCGTGCCGTAAACACGCATGTAACTCACGGAACCGGATATTGAACCCACCTATAGTTTTTGGGTACCGACATCCAGATGAAGCCGAAGAACTCTTGACGGACCACAGGAAGTTGTATCGGGAGCGAGTTGCCGCGTCTGCTTTCGCGGAAATCGGGCACGCGAGGCGATTGCGGCCGAGCAGGGGGTTGAGGTGGTGGTGGCGGGTATACGAGGGTGCTCGTGATGATACAGCGAGTCCATATCAGATAGACAACTGTGATGGCGAAGAGTCCGAGCAGTTCTAGGGAGGATCGTCAGCCTATATGCGCATTTGCCAACCATGACCGACCTGTGACAAGCCATGCATCGGCAGCGCCTCGCTCGAATTGGGAAATCTGCCAAGCAGCATACAGAAGGGAGCAGAGCAGCAAGGTGCTTTCAGCCGAGCTCCTCGCGTCGACGGACACCTTCGACTTTGCCCGCCAGGACAAGACCGGCAAATCGAGCGTCGCGGGTAAGATGTATCTGACCCTTGTTGCCTTGTGCCGCGCGATGATCGACGAAGACGGGGTTCTCTGCGGGCGCGAAGGCCTGGTGCCGTTGCCTATCCTCACTACAGGCGACCTCGAGCGGGTGAACGATCCCCGACGGGGCGCACGGCCCTCGTCCGACGATGCCCTGCGTAGAGGGTGGGGGCTGGATTCCAGAAACGACCGCTTGGCGGGGGCGCCGTTGTGCGATGTCCGCACGGGACTGTGGTCATATGCGCGACCGCGATCGAACGGGCCCTCACTGTCTGTCTCAGTATCGGAGCCTCCGTTCGAAGATGCAGAACTGGCAATGCACGTTAGCCCGCATGGATGTGATATCGACAGTGAATGTTCACGGCACCTGGAAGACCCCGCTTGATAACTCGTACTCCAGCCGACGCTAGGCGATTCGTTAACAGCAGTCTCCGACTGTACCGGCGCTACGGCACCGACACGTCGCCGCTTGCGCACCGCATCCGACGAGCGTGCTAGCGTACGCGAGGTACTCTTGGTCGCCGTGGGCGGCGGCGATGGCGAAGACCGAGAGCGCGCCAGTGTCAATAAGTAGCGAGAAACCGTGTTGGAGGCGAAGAAGAGTGATTTCTTCTGACCTCCTCTCGGTTCGTCCCACCTCGCTGGCGATGATGTCGCTCAAAGCGGTCGGTTACGTAAATGCAACGCGAGGTTAAATTTGGCACGCGCCACGCGACTTGCCCGACGCGACTCGTCGCGCTTTTCTTCGACTTTGGTTACTTACATTCTACGTGTTGTTTGTCGTCGTCATGGCAGACGTGGAGGAGACAGTATATCTGGAGGATATTGAACCCGCGAAGGCGACCAAAGGCGCCGACGCCGACGTGACTGCTGCTACCTCTAGTGCTCCCTCGTCACCGGCCGCGTCCCAGGATCAGTCAGAGAGCAGCATGAAGGTTCAAAGCAAGGAGGCTCCTGCGCCGTCCACCTCTGGAGGCGGCGTCAAGCGCCAGCGCACGCTGCTTGACATGATGGGCGGGAAAAGCGCGTCTTCGAGTGTCGGACCTGCTCCGAAGAAGACAAAGCTGGCTTCAGAAGGTTCCAGCACGTCTCTCGTGTCCACATCCGCCGGGGGTGGTAAGGTATGTGTATCTCGTGCTCATCTTCTGATAGCGTGAACGTTGAAACCTCTCCGTATTGAACTCGATCGTTCTCCTAGACCCTGAACTCTATCCCGTTCTCGCAATCCGAATTCGAGGCCTCGCTCAGCGAGGAAGAGAAGCAGCTGCTCGAGCTCGAGTACGTCACTATGGGCAAGAGCTGGTGAGTTCCGCTCAAAGTCCACCCATTCCGCACGCGGACCGGGTGCAGACCCCCCCCCCTCCGAGCGCTGCATCCACGACACTGATGCGCGAACACGCACCCCACAGGCTGAAAGTCCTCAAGGACGAGATCAGGAAGCCATACTTTCTCGCCCTCAAACGTTTCCTGCTCGCGGAAGGTTTGACAGGCCTCGACGCGAATTGCCAGATCTACCCTCCGCGTGCGTCGCGATCTCTTTCGCTCTGCGCCACGCGCGCCGCGCCAACGATTTATTTCTGTTCACTTATCATTTCGTCCCCCTTCCGGAACCTCTGCAGCGCGACAAATCTATTCCTGGTCCACGCACACGCCTCTAGGCAAGGTGAAGGTAGTCATTATTGGCCAAGGTGTGCCCTCATCGACCCACTCAAACATGCACGCGTACTGCGCACATGCGTTCGTGTCTTCTAGACCGTTTGTTGACGATGGCTGTTTCGCTCTCTCAGATCCGTATCACGGTCCTGGTCAAGCGCATGGTTCGTACCGTATTGATTACTTCGACCGCCCCGCTCCGCCCGTCCTTCTAAATCCGCCTCGTCGCAGGCCTCTGTTTCTCAGTCCTACCCGGCGTCGCGGTGCCGCCGTCTCTCAAGAACGTACGGTGTTCAACGTTTCGGATGATCCACCGGTCTCCGGCTGACGGGCACGCCCTTCGCAGATCTACGCCGAAATCAAATCCGAATATCCCTCCTTCACTCCGCCGAGGCACGGGTAAGCGAGCCCACCGCCCCGCCCCCGCTTCCCGATCTCCGTGATACCCATCCGACCGCTACAGTGACCTGACCTCCTGGGCCGACCAAGGCGTCCTCCTCCTCAACACCTTCCTCACCGTCCGCCCGGGCAAAGCCGGCTCGCACGGCAAACAAGGCTGGGAATCCTTCACGGACAAAGTCGTCGACGCCGTCGACAAACACGGCGGTGCCAACCTGGGCGCGAAGACCGGCACGGGCCGCGGCGTCGTCTTCCTCTGCTGGGGCGCCTGGGCCGCGAAGCGTACAGAGAAACTCAACAAGGTCAGCACACATGCTCCGCCCCCGTCTTCCTTCATTCTTGTGTCTTCTTGCATATCGGTACCTGGGGAGATGAGGCGTCCGTACATCGCGAGTTGCCAAGGCTCAACGGCGACCCTGGATCCCCCGACCGACTTCGTCTCTCCGTCTCCCGCATTCGGAGCGGGGAACGGGGGAGACGGACATATTTTGTTTTACATCAATGGTACCATCGCTGATGATCCCCGCCCTTTTTTTTTTGTCTTTCCCATCGTCGCGCCGCCGTCTCGCGTGTAATAGTCGAAGCATCTCATTCTGAAGAGCGCGGTGAGTCCTTCGATCGAGCCCATCCCCGTTCGCCGCTTCCCGTCGTGGTGGCATCCCCTCCCTCCCTCGCTTCTCTCCGAGCGGGAGCGAGGGGGGTGCCATGCTGCGATGCTATGCCCAAGAGAACGCCGTGCGCCAAGCCTCGGCGCCCGCGTCGTCGTCACACACTCGTCGGCGGTCCATCAATCTGGATTTTTTGCCAGCCGTCCATTCATTCGCTGTACTCTCCTTCCATTTTTTTGCCTTTGCGTTTCTCGTTTCCTTCATTGTTCCGCTGATACCACTCTCTCTCTCTGCGCGCGCACCAGCACCCGTCGCCGTTAAGCGCCCACAAGGGTTTCCTCGGCAACGGGCACTTCAGGAAAGCCAACGACTGGCTCGAAGCCAAATACGGACCGGACGCCTGCGTCGACTGGTGTCGATTATGAAGCGTCCTGCCTCGGAAGCGCGACGATGGGAAGAAAGCTGACGTCATGATCTGAAGGGCGGCAAACAGCCTCCCTCTCCTGATTCCAAATGCGCGTCGCGCACGCGCAGCTATAGCCCGAACGCGTGTATATAGATATTTGCCGGACGGAGTGCTCTGCATGATACCCCTCCCCCCACCTAAACCCCGATGATTGCATGTGTGAGGCCCAGCCAGAAAGCAACGCGTTGGCATCCGCTTCTCGCAGCTTCCTTTGCCGATGGCACTCGCAACGGTTAGCGAGGCGTCGGCGGCTTCGATATCCCCAGATCTGTGCAAGACGCGACATCGCATCGTTCCCGTCCCTGGTAAGCTGCTCTTGTGAGTCAGACAGGTTCTAGCCCCCTCTCCCCCCCCCCCTCCGCTTGTTGGCGAACAACGGTCGAGCGGGAAGGAGGAAAGATCAGGAAGCCCGTTGTTCGTTGCACCTCGCACAGGGAACCAACAAACCCCCCTTTCACCCCGGAAAACGACATTGATAATGATCGCCAAATTCGGAAAAAAGGCGGCGAATCCCGAAGGAGGGCCGAAACAACGTGCGGCGTCCTCGGTGGCGGTGCCTGATCGGACGTGCCTGGCCGACGCCCGACGCAAGCAAACGGCGCACCGGCGCAACTGACACGGGCGCCCTCGGCTGGGCTTGCTCTGATCTGCAGGCGGAGCAGCTGCACGGTTGTTTATTCTCCGGTCGTCTTCGTCGTCATCACTGTCCACGGCGCGGCGTTGCACCGGAGAGGGCATATCAAACAGGGGATCAATTACGCCGGTGCTTTAAAACAGCTACATAGATAGGCACGGTTCATCTCGAGCGTGCGGCGTGCGAGTAACTACAATAATAAAAGACGACGACGGGGCGCAGGGGAGCACCGTCCGCGTGATAAGATAGTCGATGCGATGCGAGTGGGAGCCATTGCGGTCGGATTTCATCGAGCAGTAGGGATACAGCGCAAGAGGAGAGAACACATGGGGGGTGAGACCGAGAACGAAGGGAAGATCGAAGAAAAAAAGTCAAGAACGTCCAGACGTGTGACGAAGGAGGGGAGGGGCACGCCGGAGGCGGATCACCATCAACAAACAGCTCTGCCCCAACCCAAAAAAAAAGCTCCCAAAGTAAAGAGAGTACGTCAGCCTCTGACGGGTCACATGCCCCTCAGAGTGGCCGGCAGCCGTGCCCTCGACTTCTCGAGCCCCCCGTGTGTGCGTGTACGCGCGCGTCGCGCGATCAACTCTCGGGCGGGCGCGGAGGCGTCGGTAACCGGACGCCGGCGCCGTGCGAGACGAGCTGCGCCTGCGGGTGGGGGAGGTGCGGGAAGTGCGTCCCGAGCGAGCGAAAGCCGGAGGGCTCCGTGATCGAGCGGCGCGGCGCGTAAGGCATCGCCCCTGACGGCGGCGGATCGCGCGGTGCGCGGTGATGCGCGTGCTGCGGGTGGTGGTGGTGGTGCACGCCCGCGTTGTGCAGCGAGGAGGAGGAGGAGGGCGTGTCCGAGGCGGACGGCGGGAGCGGTTTGAGTTCGTGGGGCGGCGGTCCCCCGGGGGAGGCGTAGGAATAGGGGTTGTAGCCGTCGTCCCGGACGTCGCGGAGCATGTAGGAGGAGGTCGAACTGCCGTAGCTCGCTTGGGCGATCTGCCGGTCTGCTGCGGCTGGCGGTACGTGCTGATTTGAGGAGAGTAGGTAGGCGTTCCCAGCGTGCGCCTGTCGTGAGGACGATGGCGCTGGCGCCGAGTAAGAATATCCCGCCTGGCTGGATGGCGGTAAAGACGAGCCGCCGATAGGCGGGAGAGAATATTGCCCGGTGGGAGTATAGGGTTGGCTGGACGCCGTCGAGGGTCCGGCGCTGCCGTGCGCGAAGGAGGCGGGCGACATGGGCGGGGGGATGTGCGCGAAGGAGGATGTCGCTGGGGAGGGGTGCGAGAACGCGGTCGAGGCCGGGGAGGCGTGCGATTCGGTCCCGTTTTCGGCGCTGCTCGCGGCGACCATCGCGTCCCAGGACGACGGGGACGTGCGCAGCGCAGGCGGCGGCGCGGAGGGCGAGAGCGAGTTGCCGCGCGTCGGCGGCGCAGAGTCCTCCGCAGAGGAGGTGGCGCGACTGGGCCCGGGGCGCTCGCAGCCGGTCATCGTCTGGCTGCTGCTGCCGCTCCCCGATGCGTCTATCGGCGAGGACACGTACGACTTGGGCTTGTCTTTGCCCGTCGGGCCTTTGCCCAGCGGCGGGCGGTTGGCGGGCGGCAGGTTGAGCGCGGCGCGTAATCGGTCATTCTCTTCTTCGAGCTCTGCGACGCGCTCTTCCATCGCCTGCAGAGACGTCGTGAGCAGTGATCGCGCCACCCCGGGCGCCTACGAGATCAAGGGAGGTGCTCGACGAACCTGAAGGTGCGCGGCACGGCGGGCGCGAAAGGCGCGCTGGACATCGCGTGCACGATTCGGCGGGAGGTTATCGTTGCGTTTCCGGCCGCGCTTGGAGGACATGATAGTGCGGATGAGAAGAGAGATGGAAATGGACGGGAGGCGATTGGGAGAGGAAGACGGCCCAGGTCGGCGAACATAAGACAGCGACCCGAGCGAGGCCGGGATTGACTTTTACGGGCGGGGCTCACAGCCAGTCGAACACGGAACCTCCGCGAGGGGACGATCGGGAAGACCGGACGTAAGCACGACCCGCCTCTCGCTCTGACCGCGGTCGTCAAGGCTGCTGCAAAGAGCTCATATTCCGATTGATCTGGTGTGAAACGCCGCAAGCAGCACAGTCATGGCCCCCCTGCACTGCCCCCGCCGCGCAGTGATCTCGTCCTCCGTCGCTGACAACCGTCGCGCGCATCTCCGCACCCCCCGGACGCGCGAAGAACCCATCGGAGCGGGGGCCACCGTACCCACGCGCACACAGAATGAATTGCACGACATGTTGGTCTACCTGCGATACACGGCCGGTCGCCCGGAGCACCACCCCCCCAACCCCCCGCCTGCGATCGCCTCACAAACCCGCAGCACGTATATCATGATCATCCCCGAGCAGCCTTCCGCGCCGCCGCCCGGTCCTTCTCCCGTTTCGCAAACAGTTTGCTCCGCGGCGCCGCCTCCCTCGCCAGCTTCTTGTTCGCGCTCTTGTTCTGCTCGATGTACGACATGTGCTGCCCGCCGCTCAGCGCCGTCAAAGATCCGGACGTCCTGTACGGCGCCGCCGCCGCCGCCGCGCGGGACTTGGTCGGCACCCCAAAGTCCTTCGACGTCACCGTGCCCGCCAGGTCGCCTTCTCCCGCCCGGATATCCGACCCGAGATCGGCCTCGCTCTCGTTCGCCAGCAGGACGGACGACAGGAGCTCGATCTGCTCGTCCCGCGACTTGTACACGAGGTCGGGCTGGTCCTCGAGCCCGTCGAGATGGGTGATGACCTTGAACGAGTACCCTTGATCGATCAAGAACTGCTGCCGCTTCGTGCTGTAGAACATCTCCTGCGTGTCCTTTGACACGAGCGAGTAGAAAAACGCGTTGAAGCCTTCGTCGTTTCGACGTTTTGCGCGGAGAATGCGGCCTGCGTCAATGAACATGCGCGTATATGGATCAAGCCGGTCATCAGCGCCCGCGGCGGAGATTAGTCCGGCGGCCAAAGAGACGATGCACGCACCCAGCCGTTGCGCCTCCTGTCGACGCGACCCAAAGTGCGAAGAGATTTGGATGAGGCATGTGGCCTCGGGCAGGTCGATCGAAGTATCCCCGACCTGGGCAGGAACACGCCCCCGTGTGAGCGCGTGGGAGTCGAGAAGCCAGACGGAGCACCCAACCTTGGACAAGAATATCGTGTTGACCGCCGGGCTATGTTGGAAGTACTGCAAGATTCTCATGCGCTCGACCTGGCCCGTTCCACCGTGGATATAGAGCTTCCCGAGCTTCTTTGCATATGCCTAGAGTCCGCTCGGCGTGAGTGCCCAGACCGCCACTCGTAACGAGGGGACAAAGGGCCAAGACGCGCACCTCGAGCGCGTACACATTGTCTGAGAACACGATAATCTTGTCGCCTCGGTCCTCGTGGTACTTGATCAGGAACTGGCACGCCTGAAACTTCTTCGGGTTCATGCAGTAGAGAAGCATGCGCTTCCGCGACTGCTCGCGCAAGTACTCCCGATAGAACTCTGGCGTCATAGGACACCACACTTCCGCGCACTTTGAAATGATCAATAACAACAACGCGAAACGAAGGATATGTCAGCAAAAAAAAAACGACGATCCTTGCGAACGAATGACCTAAAAAGGGAAGGCGAGAAGCCGGGGCCGTACCTGGACATTTGCAATATGGCCCTTCGCCGCAAGATCCATCCAGTTGGCTTCGTAGAGCTTGGGCCCAATCATATAGTTCAGGTCAGCGATCTTGTCATCTTCCCGAACAAGCGTCGCTGCAGATCATCGCGCGTCATCAGCATTTTCATCAACAAGACAAATTCGATTTCCCCCTATGGGGTAGGACAAACCCGTCAAGCCCAGCTTCGCGTGGGCTTTTATGGTAGTGACCACCCTACGGAACATGGCCGCGGGAACGACGTGCACCTCGTCCAGGAGAATGAAACCCCATTCACGAGAAGTCAGGAAGTCCATCATCTTCTTAGCGTCGTGGGACCTATTGTGCGTATTCGCCACCATTGAATACGTCGAAATGACAATCCCGCTCTCGCCCGCGAACTACGATGGAGATAATAGCTTAGTGGGAAGTCATTACGGATGACGGATGCAATATACCAACCTTCTCCTTCTGATCAGCGGTGAAGACGGCAATCTGTCGATCGGTGATGTTGGACCACTGCATGAACTGCTGCTTCCACTGCATCACCGATACTCTGCAAAACGATGATGAAAACGCAGATTCGCTGTTTGGCGTGGCACTCACGAGGATGTGCAGAGTACGAAACACGATTTCTTGATCGTACAGGCCGCAGTGATGCCCACGAGGGTCTTGCCAGCGCCACAGGGAAGCACTATAATCCCGGATCTCGCGCGACTGCAAAAAAAGGCGATTAGCGCCACAAGTCTAGCTTACCAACCTTGGATCTCTCTCTTACCCGTTCCCGAACATCTTCGATAAGCTCGTCTCCTGGTAGGGCCTGATGACGGTTGCGGGTTTCAGATCGATGTCCAGATTGGGGTTGATCGTGTCGTTCCGGAAGTCGTACTCCTCCAGCATCGGGTATTCGAGCTCGTTGCATCGCTTCTTCACATCCTGGCGGTGCAGTGTTAGGGGTGCCCTGAGGCGGTCCTGAGGAAACAGCTCACGTCGATCTTCGCATCATCAATCTCGAATGAATGGACGTTGTCGTCCTCGTCATCGATCTCGTCTGCGGAGTTCAGAGTCGCTGTGAGAATAGAAACGATGCGGTATCAAAAAGTTGACGCACCTGCGTCAACGCCGACTACCGAAGTGAACAGTTCGGCGTCATTCGTGGCATTCGCGTTGTCGCCGGCGCCGGATGTGGAGCCGCCACTAATCTCATCCTTCTTCTTGAGGGCCTCCGACGAGCCCGGGATGATAAGGTTGCTCTTGGTCGGAGCCTTGGCGGTGGTGAACGTGTTCCCTCTGATGCTGTTGTCCGTCTGCTGAGAAATAACGCGTGCTTCTCGGATGACTTTATCCTTGAGTAGGAACTGGAGCGTGTCCGGATGGCTGGATTCGACGTAGTATTTGTTGTGCTTCAACACGAGCTTGACCTTTCCATAGGAAAGCGTCCTTTCGCGGATAAAAGTGGTGATTGATTCGGGGACAGGGACCTAAAAACGCGCATATAGGCACACAATCCGGTGTCCATGCCGCTCCGACTCACCTTGGAGTATCGGTTCAATACCTCCGGTCGAAGTCAGCCCCTAAAACTCTGATAAGAAGGCGAGAATCATACGGACTTCGATGATATCCTCCGTCTGAAGGCCGACCGAGACTGCGGCGTATAGAGAGTAGGACGTGATTTTGTATTCGTGCAAAAAGGCCGGTCTACCGAAGCCTGAGCAATGGTATCTACGTACAGCGTGCGAGGAAACGCGGGTCGAGCGCACCTGCTCACAGGCTCGCTGATAGCTACGAGGAAGTCCTGCGCCTGCTCTGCGATCGGGGAAAAGGCCTCGAGGATGATGCTCCCGTCTTCCGGGCTTATCCACAGCGGGCGCGCAGCGTGATCCGGTTTGAGGTGCAACCACGAAAAGTCTTGGTCCATGAATATGTGAGAAACCAACTTGTTCTGTTGCCTGCGGTGTTTGCTAAGCGACGAGCCATCTCCATGCTCGTCGGACTGCTGCGCTCGACGCTGCTCCGCCAGCTTGCGAGTGAGGGCGCTGAAGTTGATGGTAGCTCCACGAGGTACAACGGAGGTGGGCGGTGCGGATGCGTCATCGTCGTCGTCGACATCGACGTAGCTCGTGCTCTCCTCCTCTCGCCTGGGACGTTTCAGACGCATCGAGTCGTCCGAGGGAGCCTCTGAGCCGCGCTTTGAAGCCATGTAGGATGAATGTTTCGGTATTAGTCGTTTCTATCGTATGATAGATTCTTGTACGTCGTCCGATTCCTGGAAACGAGAAGCGAGTGGCAAGCGATGGAGGGCGGAGGCAAGGTGCCTGTGGTCACCGGTTCGCTCGCCGCTGACTCAAAGCAAGCGCGACGATGCCACGTGCGACCCAAGCTCCTTGACCTTGACCACCTTCATCCCCCTCGTCGAAAATGTGGAGGCGCGCAACAGAACAAGTTACCGGCACCAACGAAAGTAAGCTACGTCGATTGCATTGGCTTGATCAGGATCTCATCTTTCCTCGCAGTTCCTCTTGGAAGTCGTCGCCGATTTGGTCCTGCGCCGACGGAAGAGACGGCGCCGCCTCAGCTTGCCCAGCCATCGCCTTCGGCTTATCCGACTCCGCGTCCGGCTCCTGGAAGCCAAGATGTTCATGACAGAGGTCGAGAAAAAAGCTCTACGCCAGGTACGTTACGAGATCCGGTGGTCAACGCCTGACAAGCGTCTCGTACTCTTTCCTGTCCTATCCGTGCACAGGACATGGTTCAAGTTCAGATTCGTCGTAATTGACCTGATCCTCGGACGGCTTCCTTACGCCTCATACAGTGACTGACTAACTCATACTAACGTACTGATGACCTTCAGTTGACCCTAACGCACCCCGCAAGCGTCGTAGCCGCTGGGGCGATCAAAAGACAGAGCTTCCGGGACTGCCCACCGCTATTGATGCTCAAGGCGTTTCGCAGGCGCAGCTCGACAACTATGCTATTCATCTCCGCCTGGAGGAAATCAACCGCAAGCTACGCATGAACGATTTCATCCCCCCTGAGCGTGAACGGCAAGTCCTCCATGGCTTTTCGCCTTATTTCTACTGACGCGCGTCGTATCGTCAGCTCCCCTTCGCCGCCCCCCACCTATGACGCTCATGGTCGTAGGACAAACACTCGCGAAGTTCGTTATCGTAAAAAGCTCGAGGACGAACGTGTCCGGCTCGTCGAGAAAGCTCTCAAGAACGATCCTAACTTCCGCCCCCCTGTTGAATATCACCAGCAGAAGCGTTCACAGCGGCCTTCTGAGAAGGTCTACATCCCGGTCAAGGAGTTCCCGGAGATCAACTTTTTCGGTCTCCTCGTCGGACCTCGTGGCAATAGCTTGAAGAAGATGGAGCGCGAGAGCGGAGCCAAGATCAGTATCAGAGGCAAAGGCAGTGTCAAGGAGGGTAAAGCTCGACCCGAGCAATTCGCTGAAGATGCTGAGGAGGATCTCCACTGTCTCGTTACCGCTGACGAACAGAGCAAGGTGGCAGCCTGCGTGAAGATGATCAACAGGGTCATCGAAACGGTAAGGCATTCCGCCCCACGCTGGCATAGCTGAAACTGACTAGTCCGCAGGCTGCATCTACTCCCGAGGGCCAGAACGATCACAAGCGGAACCAGCTACGTGAGCTGGCCGCCCTTAACGGTACGCTCCGCGACGACGAGAACCAGATCTGTCAGAATTGCGGCAACGTCGGCCATCGCAAATACGACTGTCCCGAGCAGCGTAACTTCACCGCTAACATCATCTGCCGAGTCTGCGGCAGCGCGGGCCACATGGCTCGCGACTGTCAAGTGAACAGGGATCCCAACGCGGTGCACGCGCCACCAAGCATGGGCGGTCCAGGAGGTCCGGGCAGAGGACCAGGTGGCCCCGCAGGCGGTTTCGACTCCGAATTCGCAAATCTCATGGCGGAGCTCGGTGAAGGGGGCGTCAAGTCGGGTGGGGGAGGGGATGTGGCCAGAATTGGCTGGGGAGGCGGAGGCGCCGGGCACGACATCACCGCTGGCGGATCCAACGTTCCTCCCTGGCGCCGTCCGGAGAACTGGCAGAGCACCGTCCCGCCGCCGCAACAGAACCAGGGATATCGCCCTCCGCAGGCAGGCTATGGAGGATACGGCGTGGGAGGATACGGCGGCGATGCTCAGCAGCAATGGGGAGCAGGGTACCAGAACTACTATCAGCAACCTCAGGCAGGCGGTACCGACTACGCTGCCCAATACGCCCAGTACTACCAGGGCCAATACGCGGCGCAGCCCACACACTAACCTCTCTATACCGACTTCTGACGATGCTCGTTCCGCTAATAAGGACAACTGCGCTAAACACCTCACCTGCGATAGACAGATGTCGCGCCTCTAGGTCGTCACGTCGACGGTAAACCGTTGACTGATACTCGCGTCCGCTATCAGTCATGACGGACTCCGACAGAAACGCGTATGCATTCACTTGCCAAGTTGTTTGATTACAGATTCAGCCTTTCTCTATTATGCCCGTATGTTGTTATAGCCACTGATCTGCTGAGAATACATGTCGTGATCCACCACGGTGCCAATATCTATGAGGGGCTCAGCCGCTCCGAGGCTGAGGCAGTCGTTTCTTCTTTTTCTTCTTTGGTTTTGAATCAGATGGCTCGTTCTCTAGGGACTCCGCGCTACGCTTCTTGCCGGAGGACTTGGTTTCCTTGACGAAACATGATACGAAGAAGCCGTTGGTGGCATCCTCCCCAGGCGAACAGCGTATAACAGAGTCCGCGTCCTCTGATGAGAGTTGTCGTGATCAGTCCTTGGTGAGTTGAGATAGGCGTCGTTGAAGTAACCAACGCACCCGGGTCGTCCATCTCCTGAGGAAGGCCTCGTCTCGGCCACTGCGGGAGCACGTCCTGGCGGGAAGCAAGCCGAAATCCGGAGTTGGCAGCCTCTTCGCTCCGGAGAGCTTCGCGCACGACGTGCTCGTTCTCTGTCGCGTGCATGCTGCACGTTGAATACACGATCCGCTTGGCTGACGGAACTACGGAGATATGATGAAACTTGGGTGTTCCGTTCACGAACGCTAGGCGACCCACATTTCATGGCGTGTTTGATCATGGAGAGCTGGAAAGCCGCGAGCTTCGCGAGACGTTCTTGCCGGTCATCTGCGTCATCCTCCTCTGCTTACATTCCATGAGCCACTTCTGTCCGAAGCGAGAACACGGTATGTACTTGCCGGTCTCCAAGAGATGGTCCAGCCTGAGATCCTGATCAGTGTTTGTATCGGACGGACTCCCGATGATGGATGGTGGTATGGAGCCAGACATACCTATTAACGATACCTGACCCACTGCAGGACGGGTCGAGGAGACTGCGGATCGGCAATGGAAATCAGGTTCGTGATCTGCAGATTCTCGCGAAAGACGTGCGGGTACCAGGAAGGCGGGCTCACATGTGGGTTACTCCCGCATATCGCGGGTCCTCTGGTGATACGGAGAGGAAGTCGTCGTTTATCGGTTCAACGTTACGGCACGACGCCTTGGAAAGCATCATCTTCAGCGTCGAGAATCGCTTGCGATCACGTTCGAAGGCGTGCAGCTTCTTGGAGTTGGCGCGTCAACCGGGGATATCCAGGTGGTAACACTCCGGGCGCGACCGGGATGACTCACCTTGCCCTTCCCTTTCATGAGCGCGCTCAGGTGTGAGGTCTTGTTACCGGGCGCGGATGTTGCATCTATTACTCTTGCGTGCTCAGAAGATGGCGGTGCAAGAACCAAGGCTGGAAAACAAGAGGCTTTATCTTGGAGGATGATCTTGCCAGACTTGTATAGTTCGTCGTCTTGCAGTCGTGCAGACGGGTTGAAGAGGAGAAGATCGGGTACGTGTGCGTCGCGCTTGAAGCCCTTTCTGCAGCGTGAGTCAGAACGCGATTCGTCTGCCTCGCGAATTCGAGTGGCTCACGGATTCTCGAACGGGTCAATGTCCACGTAGCCTCTAGAGACGAACGCTTTCGCGGCCTCATCCGTACTCCATAAAAGCGTGTTTACCCTCACATATCGAGGTATCCGCACTAGAGCGGCAGCGTGATGATTCACTCGAGGTGTGAGATGTTCGGGGGCTTACGGGCGCGTTCGTCATGCGATTGTGCGAGGTCTGCGTTGGATTTGGCGCCCCGTTTGATCTTCAGCTTCGTAAACTCGCCGTTCAGTCGCGTCTTGTGCCGTAGCACTGCTTGCTTTATGGGGCCGTCTCCGGCTTGGATGCCTTTGGCGAGCAACAGGTCGTGGACGAGGACGAGCGCAAGATTCATAGAAGTCAGCTTCCGCTCTTCGGTAAGGAGTTTTGATTGCTTGATGACTTCGGCAAGGGTCGACTTGTCTACTGGTGCTTCAATAGTCGCATGCGCGCCGAGGAAACTGGCCTCGTACACTTTAGCGTCTCGATGACGAGAGCAGACGTGCGCTTCCTGTCTTTCTCCGGCAAAGAACCGATGACCCCCTTTATGGATCCTTGCTTAGCATCCAGACGATCTAGCGTCTTGGCAGCCTCGAAGTAGAAGTTCATGTTGGGTAAAGAGCTTGGATGGAGTCAACACGCGTGCAAAGTAATCAAAACTGGATATACAGTTCCACATAAGCTACACAGGGTGTGGTAATATGCGACGAGAAGGGGTACGTGCAGTACTAGTGAACCGAACGAAGCTACAGCCGTTCTGCCTGTAGGAGGAAGGGTCAGCTTAAGTCGGGTACGACAGACAGCATGGGGTTAACGTGAAGTCAGGAGAAAGTTGATTCGTCAAGTATGGGCGTGAGCCTCGTATCCGACAATGTAGATAAGTTTTCGAAGCATCATACGAGGGTGACGACGCATTTTTCGGAGCAATATTCACCTAGTGTCTTTCGGCCCCCACACGCGCCAGCAGTCCCAATGCACCACCAGAACGGAGTCTTGCGCAACGAAGAGACTGGAAGGACACCACAATGCAGCGGACGATACGGACACAGGCTGGACCAGGACAGACGTCGACGAGGGAGAGAGCCTGAATTTGCTAGAGGTCACATGCCAGTGAGACCACTGGAGTAGTCTTCTAGACACCACCTCTCCTTTAGACAGTGGCCATTTTCTCAGCAGTCACTGTTCCGTTGCTCCTCAGACTTTTTATGGGGGTGGAGGTAGTATATCTTGACATTCTTATGTAGGTTTTAGAACAGTAGGGCTCCTAACCCAGACATGAAAAATCGCGAACAGGGCTGTGGCTGTGGGACACCAATTTTACTCCATCACTTGTGCCATGAAAACTAGCTCTATCGACATGAAACCTGGACTGGGTGACTCTCTGGGATACAAAGTGACTTTATGCTTGTTCCTGTGTCCAACGGATTTCTCTTCATTGCAGGGAAGGTGTTACATTCTTCTCATGGCTGCACTGAGTGGCAGTGCCACCAGTTTCCCACATTTCCGACTCCCCCGGAGCTTGCGGAGGTCGGTAGGTAGGTAGGTAGGTATATTTCCGGCGCGGTCCCAATAGCGGAACAACCGGTTGCCGCACCGCACGTCAATACGCACGGCTTGGCGCACACAGTGCATCCACGGCCCCCGTGAGCTGCTATACAGCCGACACGCCGCTTCAGCACTGGTGCAGGTAAACTAGGTACATGTATGTGCTACTATGTGCAATACATTACCTAGAGTTGGTTAACATCTCGCTCATCTTCAACTGTGACCGAGTGTGTGACCCTGCCAAAACGTGATGGTTTGTGACTTCAATTCGTGAACCCGCCCTTTTCCGAGTTCCGAAATCCACCGGCTGACCTGCAGATCTTCTCACGCTTCGAAATATTCACGCAGTGCTTGTCCCCATATCACTCTTTGCTCTGATGTCCATTCATTCTCTCCTCTCTGGGCAACACAGACTTTCTCGAGCATGTTACTGGTATGCGCCAGCCAGTCTTGGACTGACAGTGAAGTGGCGAGACATGAAGGCGCCCATCATGAAGATATCTCGAGGATTCGAGTTACGCTCCGACAAGCCGTCAGACTCAGAGCATGAACGTCGATGATGATCCAGAGCCTGAGGCTGAAGAGAGCGACGACGGACAAAGCACTGACGACGATCTCAACGGTGGCATGATGCATGACTCAGACTCTGAGGTTGCCGCAGAATCTGCACGCCATAGGTGGCGTTGTGCGCGGAGTGAATATCCCACCGACCACTTCGTCATCAGCGATGGCTTCAACCTGGGGTCACCATTCTTGCACGGGTTGTCCGGTGATGGCAACGGGGAGTCTGTCAGTCCGTGCCGTCAGCTCACGCTGAACCCGTATCTCCGGTGAAATCCCAGTGGAAGCGGCAGTGAGGTAAATGACATGTCGTTCTCATTGCAGAATGACAGTAGATCTACACTATGTATGGAGCGTAAATGTGAGGTGAATTACACCCTGTGAATCTTGGCGCGAACATAGCTTGGGTAGATCAGCTGTCAATCTCAGTGTGTTCACAGATTCACAGGACACAATCAACAGCTTGCTCGCACTGACTAGGCTATAATGGCATTTACGTTGGATCTTGGTAATCACACCAGTCACCTTGAGCTATTCCATGTCTAGCAGGGCATGCTAGTGTTTTTATGGTGCATTCAATACAACAAGAGCTTGGGAGTCGGATCCGGCGCGCACCTTGGTGCGGCGCAATACCCCCAAGTACGGCAGTAACATCCGGTATCAAGGGAAAGTAACCGTGGGACCCTGTCTAAACGAGTAGTAACGGTCAAAACCATTCCCACGCTTTCCCAAGCTCCTGGAGCTCTTTCAAAGAAGGGTACCAGCTCAAAAAAATTCAGGGGGTTATTTCAAGGCATATATCTTTGATGGTACAAGTTTTTTGGAGGTACGGTACCGTGTGAGGGAGTCGGGAGGCCGCACAAGATTTGGCGTCTAAACGACCGGTGACCCACTGTACTGGAGTTGACGTAGCTTTGTCCCACGGTGTACAGGCTCGATAGCTTTCTCGTGCTTCGACACTCGAGGCTATGGCAGGATGCAATATGCGGTGCACGTCGAGACTGGCCCTTACATTGTCTACAAAAGCTCAAGGGGTGCATTGGGGGTGCGGCTAGTTTCTCTGGGCGCTTTCGGAGGCGCAACCTTCTCGTGATCATCGCGTGAGTGCATGTAGCTATATTTCGAGGATCTACTACAATTGCCGTCACAGCTCCGAGTTACGATGGAAGCAGCCTTAGAAGTTGCGGAACCTGCCAGTCAGACGGCAAGCATACCCCTCAATAAGGCGCTGAACAGAACTTCCACTCGGATCATCGAGTTGGGTGGGTAGTATATGTGCTTTTAACTGGGTTCAGCAAACTGATCGCTATTCGCAGATTTAGACGACGAGGGTCTTGACACGCTATCCACTGTTCACTTACCCTTCTCGCATGACCTCATACGCGAATCCCGGCCCGCCGCGCTGCGCATCTCCGCTGCTCATCTCGAGCATTTGATAGACTGCCTGCAAAGCGTGAGGATCGCTCCGGTTTATGTGCTTGCCCTTCTATACGCTGATGACTGCAGGCATTCGTGGATGCTAGGGGTAAAGTCCGCTCACCCGAGGGCCGGTTGTCATGCAAGAGTATCTCTCGCGTCATGGTGAAGATTCTGACCGAGTTCCACTGCCTTCCTCCCTCGTTCTTCATCTCCGGTATCACCTTGACACATGAAGATGCGGTAGCATCAGGGGGATTTGGTGATATCTTTAAGGGCAGGTACCGAGGTAAACTGGTCGCATTGAAGAGATTACGCCTCTACAAACCAGAGCACGGACCGTTGCTTATGAGCCAAGTAAGCTATCCGATTGGCGTATACACCCGCGTTGATCTCGCCCTACTCAGCGTTTTTATCGGGAAGTCACCGTCTGGGGATCATTAGATCATCCGCACGTTCTTCCCCTATCTGGCATCGATGCCTCGATATTCTGTCCTTGCATTTGCATGGTCTCGCCTTGGATGGAAAATGGTACTCTTCTTGCGTTCATCGAGAAGGCAAAATGCTCGGAGGCGGAGATCACCCGATTAGTACGTATGCTTCACCGTATCCGGCCTTCTATTGCTCATATGCAAGCAGCTGTATGAAGCCGCTCAAGGTCTAAAATATCTCCACTCGCATACAACGGTGCACGGGGATATCCGTTGTGTAAGCGAGAGCACTTACCCCGTTTACAAGCAGGCTCATTCCCGTACAGTCAAACATCCTTGTCAGCTACGATAGGACTGCAAAACTAGCGGACTTCGGCCTATCGAATATTCTTGCTGAAAATGCCATGACGGTAACTACATCCGAAGGTTCGATCCCGTGGAGCGCACCCGAGACGTTCTGGGAGAACTGTCACCGAACCTATGCCAGCGACATCTACGCATTCGGGTGTACTATATTAGAGGTGAGCCTCGTCGTTGCTCCTATGCATTCGCTATATGACATCGGATCGTGACGTAGGCGCACAGTGGAAAACCGCCATTTGCAGGGATGTTCGGCCCGGCCATCATATATCAAGTCATGAACGGATCCCGCCCTCATCGGCCGGTTGCGCCTGAGAAGGGATACGACGTCTCTTCCACTCTGTGGACATTGGCAGAGGATTGTTGGAAGCCTCCGCTCGAGCGACCTACCGCGGAGTCGCTCGTCGCTCATCCGGCATGTGAGTGTTTGTGGGGCGTCGTAAACCCGGTGTTAACGCATGTCATACAGTCAGGAGTCAAGTTTCGGACGAGGTTTCTGTTGATGGCGCTCCGATGATGAACATGATCTCCAGTAAACGCGAGCTACTGGCACTGCGGCCGGAGGGACATCCTAGTCGTGCATTTTCCCTATGCGATCTCAGCTTGAGCCTCCGATCGCTTTACGAACAGTCTCGGGATACGGCTGCTCTAGAAGAGGCAATCTCGCTCCAACGCGAAGCACTCGCACTTCGACCCAGTGGAAACACCAAACGAGGCTACTCCCTATTCATTCTCAGCAAAACTCTACGAATCCAATACTACGCGACCAAGGATAGTGCGATCTTGGACGAGGCAATTTTACTCGCGCGCGAGGCTCTTGTGCTTAGACCCCAAGGTCATCCGGATCGCGGTTACTCGCTAGCAGAGCTCGCTCTCTGCTTGCGGGACCGGTATAACCGGATCTGCGACGATTCCGTGCTTCAGGAAGCCATATCCCTCGGGCGGGAGCTGCTCGCAATGCGGCCAGAAGGTCATCCTTGTCGCACTTCAGCTCTTTTCGTACTAGCAACGAGCCTTAGGCTTCGGTATAAACGACCCGCTGCGCTTCAAGAGGCGATCGAGCTCTATCGACAAACCCTTGAATCTCGTCCTCGAGGGCACTCCTTTCGCAGCTCATCCCTGACCATGTTGGCCATATGCCTTCGATTACGTCACGAGCAGACGGGCGAGAGAGCACTGTTAGAAGAAGCTATCGCGCTGAATCGCGAGACACTCGAACTTCGCCCTAACGGACACACGGGTCGTAGCTATACCCTCTTCCATCTGAGCATGGCGCTTCGGCAGCTTTACTCCCTATCCCTCGACATAGCTGTCCTCGACGAGGCGATCTCGCTTCAGCGCCAGGCACTCGCACTTCGCCCACAGGGACATCCCGAACGCTGCCACTCCCTTTCCGAACTCGCGCTGTGTTTGCGGCTGCGTTCGCCTCAAGACAGGTATGCTCTGCAGGAAGCCATATCGATCCTCCGTCAAACACTCGTGCTCTGCTCTGGTGGACATACACACTACGATTACAACGCCACCGAACTTGGCCAGTGCCTGCGCTTGCATGCGTGCCGAACAGGCAGCGGCGACGCTCTCGAAGAGGCGATCTCGTTGCTTCGCGACGTCCTTGCACGGCTCCCACAAGGACACGACCGTAGTTTTGCGCTCTCCGAGCTCGGCGAGTGCCTTCGGTTGCGATACACGCGGTCGCACGACGTTTCAGCTCTAGAGGAGGCGTTGTCCGTCCTCCGCGAGGCGTTGTCGCTCCGTCCAGCGGGACACTGCGGTCACGCTCTTACCCTCAAATGGCTGCTCGACTGCCTGCGAGCACGCAACCAAATCTCGGGCGACGAAGCGGCGCTCACAGAGGAGGTGTCTCTCCGACGCCAGTACTTGGACCTCCACCCCGAAGGCGATCCGAACCGGGGCGAGGCGCTCCACAGACTGGGAGTGACCCTCGTAGCTCAGTACGGGCACACCGGGGATCGCGCGATCCTCGACGAGGCCGTAACGGTGCATCGCTCGGCGGTGGCGCTCCTGCCGGAGGCTCATCCTAACAGCCGGGAGTGGATCGACCACCTTTCGGCGGCCACACAGCTGCAGTCTGCGGGTCTCGTCGAGGGGCAGAGCGAGGGTGTCGTCGTAGTGCCATAAAGGCATGGATTTCGCCATGGATCGTTGGCCCCGTTGGTGTTGTAAGCATTTTCAGTGTACGATAGATTGATACTCTGTATATACCCTGGACTACAGAACACCAGTTTTGGTTGTAGCACAATTAACACGTCACAGGCTCCATACACGACCGCACGGCGTTGAGAGCAGCTCTCCGTAAAAAAGGGCGTGTAGAGTATATAAATCGAAGAAGGACGTCGGTGGGAAGGGCAAGAGGGGAAATGACCAGAAGAAGCAACCCAGAAATTTGCCAATTTAGCCGAGCCACGCGCGCGACGCGTGCCGGGACGCGTTCGCTCAGCAAGCGCCCTCGACTTTCGAGGGGTCTTGCTCAGCTCCCTCTCCGACAACACCCTCTCGCCTTCTTATTCCTCAAGCCCAACAGTCGGTTTTAGTTACATTCTGAAGCGCCTTACGCTCATGTTTGTGCGTCCGTAGTGCCGGTGGAAACCGAGCTGTATGAGCTTCTGGGCGTGTCCGTCACGGCTACGGAAGGCAAGTCGGTTCTCGTACGGACTACTCTGTGTGGCGCTCGAGCTGATATCTGGTAGCGGAGATCAGGAAGGCGTACCGGAACAAGGTGTGTTGGTTGCAGTCCCCGGATTTCGTGTGCTCCGAATCTGATGGATCCGCGCTCAGGCTATGAAGCACCATCCTGTGCGTTTCTTCTCATGAATCGTCGTTTTCGCTGCTCAACGTCGCGTTCGCTTCTATAGGACAAGGCTCGTGCACCCATTTTTGCCCCCTCGTGAAGAGTATAAGAATGACATCTATCCTTCCAGAATCCGGATGACCCGAACGCAAGCCAGAAGTTCCAGGAGATGGCGGCCGCGTACGTCACGCCTCGCGTATTCTACACAGGCATCTTAACGCCCCCCCCCCTCTTCGCGTGTAACAGCTACGAAATCCTCAGCGATCCCCAGTCACGAGAAGCGTACGACATGTACGGCATGGAGGGCATGGCGCGCGGCGGGGGAGGAGGCGGAGGCGGCATGGACATGGACGACATCTTCGCGACCTTTTTCGGCGGCGGCGGCGGCGGTGGCGGCGGCCCCGGGATGCACTTCGGGTTCGACTTTGGCTCCTCCTCCGGCGGGCCGAGGCGGCGGAAGGGCGAGGACACGACGATCCCGTACTCGGTCACGCTCGAGGACCTGTACAACGGCAAGTCGGTGAAGATGAACATGGAGAAGGAGGTCGTGTGCGGGGTGTGCCACGGGTGCGTTCTCGCGGTCTCTCTCTCTCTCTGAACTTGTGTGCGAAAAACGCTCGCTCCGTTTTTTGATTTATCCCGGCGATGGCCTTTTTTTTTGTGTCGTTTAGGTCGGGCGCGAAGGGGAACGCGAAGCCGAAAAAGTGCGCCAAGTGCGAGGGCAAGGGATGGACGTATATCCACACTCAGGTGCGCGATCGCTGCCGCCCGCCGCCCCATTCCTCATGTGAGCTGACGAGCGCGTTATCGTATAGGTTGGCCCGAGGCAGATGGCGACGATGCGGGCGGCGTGCTCGGAGTGCCACGGCGAGGGCGAGAAGATACGCGAGAAGGAAAGGTGAGGATTTTTTTTTTTGTCGCTCGGTGTGCCTCTCTCACGGGACGACATCGCTGATACATATACATACATACAGATGTAAGAAGTGCAAGGGCGAGAAGACCGTGAAGGAGAAGACGCGGCAGGAGATCCAGATCGAACGGGGCATGCCCGATCGACACCGGATAGTTCTCGCCGGCGCCGGCGATCAGCAGGTACGGCACATATCACCAGACCGAGTCCCCCTCTTTCCCCCCCCCCCTCTTCCAATTTCCTCCAAACGTCTTATTATAAACGACGCGACACCCCATCCCGAATTTTCTGAATTCACGCAAAAAACACACAGCCGGGCGTCCCGCCGGGCGACGTCATCTTCGCCCTGCGGACGGAGCCGCACGCGGCGTTCGAGCGCTCGGGCAAGGACCTGCTCGCGCGCGTGAAGATCACGCTGTCCGAGGCGCTCCTCGGGTTCTCGCGCATCCTGCTCACGCACCTCGACGGGCGCGGGATCCGGGTGGCGTCCCCGCCGGGGACGGTCGTCCGGCCGAACGAGACGATCGTGCTCCGGGGCGAGGGCATGCCGACGTTCAAGCACCCCGAGTTGAAGGGCGACCTGTTCGTCGTGCTCGAGATCGAGATGCCGGGTCCGGAGTGGCTGGCGAGGGTCGATCGCGAGGTGCGTTTTCTTTTTTTTTTCCCCTGAGTGAGAAGAGATCGGAGCGCTTATTGCATGCGTTTATTCTCGCTCATCGAACGGTTCTCTTGACTGCACACGGAATTGAAACTCACGATGAACGGACAGGCGCTCGCGGGGCTGCTGCCGCCCAAGAAGACGGAGCTGGAGCCGCGGCCGGCGGTGGTGGACGAGGCCGAGTACGAGCAGACGGAGCTTGCCGATGTGCGTGGCCGTTCCTTCCCAGCCGGTTCCGACTTTTTCTCAAGCCACCCGCATGGTTATGGCGGCTATCCGGGACAGTTCGGCGACGGGGGGGACGAGGAGGACTGGGTGGACGAGGACGAGGAGGACGAGGAGGACGAGGACGGGATGGGCGGAGCCGAGCCCGAGTGTAGGAACCAGTAATAGCCGGGGTTTCCCGTGTTACCTGACGTGTCGCGGAGGGCGGATGGAGGGAAGTGTGGAGGGTGTTTGCTCTTTTTGTTTTTGTTTTTTTGTTTCACCTTTGCCGACGATGCCTAGCTACACGTAATACTTTGCATAATATAATACGAGCCCAGCTCACGACGTTAAAGTCTTCTCTGCCGATGTTTTTTTTACTGCTTTAGGCGGGATGCATTCCCTGCTGCGACAGTCCGATAGGAACGGGTTTGCGCGAAGCGGAAGCGAGGATTGACATTTGTTGCATGTCGCAGGTTTGAATAGGACGGCGTCTGCAATCCACCGTTACTACTACTGATACTTATCTATGAGATGAGAGAAAAGGAAGTCCTCGAAAACTGCTCTCTAGGTGAGTTAACAGCCGTCCGGGGGATGAGCTTCGCGATAATACATCAGCACATAAGTAGCACGGAACGCTTCGTACGCGCGTTTCTCGGCGTAACATGTCACTGCAAGACGCCGTCCGAATCTGAATCGTCAGAGCGCCTTGCCATGATGGCCCTGCACAGATGAGATTTCGTCGATATGACATTTCGTATGCTGAACAGAATGATGGTGGCCGCCGACGTGTTCTGGGCGCGAAAGACTCACGGGACTAATGCGATCAGCCCCTTTTTTATTTGCATTTTACTGCGCAGATGAGAGTTGGTGGCGTTCGTTTCATTGCAGTGGACCGGCACTACATACTAACGGTTAGATATGCAAAATGTCTCGATTCCGATCATAGGTCAGGCGGGCCGTCGCCAAGTGGGTCGTTATCGCACTTTTCGTTTGGACATAACAAACGCGGGAGAGGGAGTTACTACTTTTACGGGCGTTGCCATTGGTGGAAGGTTGGGACCTGCCGGATACGGTAAAGGCGAGGCACGCTTTCGAACCCCGTGGGGCGGCAAATGTGAATTTCCCCCCCACCCCCGCATTTTCGCGGACGGGTCATAAACCCCAGCGACAAAGACGAAGACACCTCTAGCCTGGCCCGTCCCCCCCCACATCGCTACTAAACCCCATCACAGACTTTCTCTACATGACTACCGTACACGACGACAACCGCTTCGTCCATCTCGCGGACCTCTCTCAGCGCCCGAGGGTACTGACGCGATGGGAGCAGCGGAGGCATAAGAACGCTCACTGGTTCGTCGAGCTCTTTTCGGAGGCGGTACGTCCGGTCGTCGCTCCCTCTCGTTCCGCCCCTCGGCGCCGCTGACGGAAATCGTCGGTCGGTCATCATCACAGATGGGCGTGTTCATATACTGTCCGTCCATCGCGTCGCCTGGGGATCCCATCGCTGACGGATTGCACCAGGCTTCGCTGGAGTGGGCAGCACCGCGGCGTACGTCTTGGGCACCTTGGCCGGCAGCACCGGTCTATCATGTTCGTCCCTCTCCCTGTGGAAACGCCTAGGGTCCCGATATTCACGTTTGTGCGCAGCCATCCAGCAGATCGGTCTGGCGTACGGAGCAGGCATCGTGATCGCGCTCGTTATCACCAGCGCCACCAGCGGTCATATCAACCCCGTAAGTGACCCACCCTCTCTCCCCCTTCCCCTTCTTTCGAAGTGGGTTTCCCGCGCCCGCATCCATATGGGGCGTCTGGTGTTAAACGATGTGTGTCCCTGTTTGCTAAATCGCGGAATTTCTCTCTCTCCCTCTCGGGGAACGCTTTTTTTGCAGGCCGTCACCCTCACGTTCGCAGCCACCGGCAAGTTCCCCTGGCGCAAGGTCCCACAGTGAGCAGCCCCCGGCGCTCCTCTCCTCTCCCGGAGCCTTTTTTCTTTCCGACATGTTTCTGATCTCCGTTTCTCTCTCTCTCTCTCTCTGCGTGCGTGCGCCAACAACAGGTACATCGCGGCGCAGATCTTGGGCGGCTACATCGCGTGCCTGCTCGTCTACGTGCAATACGAAACCCTGATCAAGGTTCGTCCGTGTTTCCCGATATCGGTGGGGGGGGGGGGGGGGGGGGGGGGGGCCC